GGTTATGAATGGTTCCTAGTTCTGGAGGTTATCAATGGTTCTTAGTTCTAAGGTTATCAATGGTTCCTAGTTCTGGAGGTTATGAATGGTTCCTAGTTCTGGAGGTTATCAATAGTTCCTAGTTCTGGAGGTTATCAATGGTTCCTAGTTCTGGAGGTTATCAATGGTTCCTAGTTCTGAAGGTTATCAATGGTTTCTAGTTCTTGAGGTTATCAATGGTTCCTAGTTCTGAGGTCATCAATGGTTCCTAGTTCTAAGGTTATCAATGGTTCCTAGTTCTGAAGGTTATCAATGGTTTCTAGTTCTGAAGGTTATCAATGAATCCTAGTTCTGAAGGTTATCAAAGGTTCCTAGTTCTGATGTTATCGATGGTTCCTAGTCCTGGAGGTTATCAATGGTTCCTAGTTTAGAAGGTTATCAAAGGTTCTTAGTTCTGAAGGTTATCAATGGTTTCTAGTTCTGAAGGTTATCAATGGTTCCTAGTTCTGATGTTATCGATGGTTCCTAGTCCTGGAGGTTATCAATGGTTCCTAGTTCAGAAGGTTATCAAAGGTTCTTAGTTCTGAAGGTTATCAATGGTTCCTGGTTCTGAAGGTTATCAATGGTTCCTAGTTCTGAGGTTATCAGTGGTTCCTAGTTCTGAGGTTATCAATGGTTCCTAGTTCTGAAGGTTATCAATGGTTCCTAGTTCTGGAGGTTATCAATGGTTCCTAGTTCTAAGGTTATCAATGGTTCCTAGTTCTGATGTTATCAATGGTTCCTAGTTCTGCATTTCAAATTTTGAGGATGATTGGAAAACCAAGATGGCTGGCAGGTGGTCATATTTAATTTTGGAGTAAAAGATTTTTAGCCCTTCTGCTCAAAAAGTATTAAAGGGATCTTTCTCAAATTTCACATAAAGATTTCTCTTGGTTTTTATACGCCCGTCAAATTTGACGGGAGTATATTATGATATGGTGTTGTCCATCATGAACTTTTGTTTGTCCGGCAATCACCTCCCTCATTTTTATACACCCGTCGAAGACGGGGACGTATTATGTTATCACGTGAGCGGGTGGGCGGGCGGGC